ATGCTGTGTGCCTGCTGTGGGTGCAGCTGTGCCACCCCAGTGTGAGTCACTGTCCCCAGGAGAGTTACTCCAGCACACAGGGCAGGTGTGATGAGCACAGGCTGTCAGCATTTCTTCCTTGATTGTCAGGGCTCCTCCTGCTGCTCTGAGCTCTTTGGGGAGAAGGGTCTAAGCACAGTGTGGGCTTGCAGGGCTCTGCCAGCCTGGGAGTGAGGAGGGGGTGGCCTGGGCTGTCTGGGACCTGAGCCTACAGCTCTGTGGTGAGCACAGAGGAGCCCAGAGCAGCTGTGGCTGCCCCACCCCTAGAAGTTCAAGTCCAGGATGCAGCTTGGAGCAACCTGGAATAGTGTGTGGAATCCCTGCCCCTGGAAGGGGGGGTTGGAATGGATGATCCTTAAGGTCCCTTCCAACCCAAATGTGGGATTCTGTGGTTCTGTGACCATAGCACTGATGAGGGACACGAGTAATGGACAGTGCAGTCATCACAGGGCTGGTCAACCTGGGAGTGCCTGGGGCTCTGCCCAGCTCAGGGACGCTGCCATGGGCAGGGCAGGCAGTGTCCAGCCCTGCAGATGAAAGGTGAAACCTGTGTTGCAGATCATCCACACGGACAGCAACACAGTCCTGGGGCAGAACGACACCGGCTTCAGCTGTGACGGATCATCCAACACCTTCCGGGTCATGTTCAAGGAGCCCGTTGAGATTTTACCCAACGTCAACTACACAGCCTGTGCTACTCTAAAGGTACCACACGGGGTGGGGTGAGGTGCAGGCAGGTGAGGGCATGGCATCTCCTTTAGGTCTTCAGTGCAACCTGGGCTTTGCTCTGTGTCCTTCTAGGCCAGTGGTGCAATCTCCAAGGTCTCTGTGTGACCTGCTGCTGCCATGAACTCGTTCACCATCAGCATTCAGAGCTGGGTTTTGACTCAGTTCACAGCACTGAACAGGGTTGTTTCACTGAGGAGGGCATGGGGTGATTTTTTTGGTGTGTACAGCTGAGCTGTCAGTCCTGCAGGTGTGTAATCTAGAGCCTGCTGCAGTGGCCTCAAAAAGTTCATGTTTAGCTGTTGAGACTTGGATAAATTAGTGGTAAGTTCTGATAGAGATGAGATTGAGCTCAGAATACCTGAGGTACAAATCCAGGAGGAAAAGGGAGGAACTGAGATCTCCACAGCTCCAAACCCACCAGAGAGCCTGGGCAGCAGCAGGGTCCTGACCTGTTCTTGTCTTCCGTGACCCCTGCAGGGTCCAGATTCCCACTATGGAACCAAAGGACTGCGCAAAGTGATCCACGAATCACCAACAACGGGAGCCAAAACCTGCTTTACGTTCTGTTACGCGGCTGGGAACAACAACGGCACCTCCGTGGAGGATGGACAAATCCCAGAGATCATCTTCTACACATAGTGCCACTGCCCAGCCCACCCTGGACTCGACTCTTCCCCATCACCTCCCAAACTAAATCTCTGGCTGAGTTTGACCACACCAATTGGAGCCACACTAGCCAAAGGTCTCAGTGAAACCATTTCAAAGCTCGTGTCCTGCCTTGTGCTAGTGCTGCTGCTGCTCTCAGGTGCCAGGTGAGCTGGTGTCCCAGTGCAGGCCAGCTGGTGTCCCAGTACCATTCGTAGGTTGTCTGTGGCTTGTTGTTTTTCACCTCCTGATTAACCCTATCTAACAACGTGCGTTTTTTGGACTGTAATGAATGTACATGCTTTTCCACCGGTCAGAAGCGAGGCAACGAGTGGCTCTGGTTGTGGTTTCACTTGCCATGAGGAGATGGTCCTGCAGACAGACTCGGTCAGGGTTGGGTGGCCCCTGCCAGGCCAGACTGCAGGGCTTGGCCAGCCCGTGCCCGGCACCTTCCCTCCTTCCCTCCCAGCAGCCTCAGCACACAGAGCCGCCCTCAAAAGTCATGGAAAGTGGCCTTTTCCCTGAGGCTTTGCTGGTCCGGCACTACACAGGCTTGGAGACCTCAAATCCGAGCTCGTCTGGAGGGACCGCGGCGTTTCCTGCTGTTCTCACGGATCTGTGACAATCCTCACCTTGGGCGGTCGGTGGCAGCGAGGTGACCTCCCTGCAGAGCGGTGAGGGGCAGCAGCCTGGCCGGGCAGGCCTTCCTGCATTCTGAGTCCCCGTGGTGCTGCTTCCAAATCCCTGGCACGTCCCAGGTGCTGGGGGGTGCTCAGCTCACCCCTGAGCAGCCCCAGCTCTGTTGTTACTGGTCATTACTGGTCATCAACCTTTGCACAGTGCCAGGGTTTCTCAGTTGAAGTGCAAGGGCACCTGCCTCACCTCTTCCCAGGCATTCCCAGTTTTCGTGTGCATTTCCATGCATTTCCCTCTGTTCCTGTGCATTGCTGGTGGAAGCAAGAAGAGAGGCTGGATGTGCACCTGCCTGTTACCTATAATGCAGCAGATGGACAAGGATTTACCAAACGGTTCAGGAAAACATGGAATGTTCTCCGTGCTGGTGTGTGTTTGCACACTGCCTGTTGGCCAGGCACAGGAGGGAGATCACAAACATCACCTGTTGAGCTGTGGAGCTCGGTGACCTTGAAGATACCCCTTGTACCTGTTCGGGGCCAGCTGCTTTTCCCCATGGCTGTCACAGAGACGGTGGCTGGTCCTGGGCTGCCTGACCAGCCCCACCCTCACTGCCCATGAGTGAAGACCATGAGACTCTTCCTCCCCTCCTCTGCAGAGGAAGCTGGAATTAAACTGAGCCTGGCAGAAAGATCGGAGCCGCTGGAGTCTGCGTGGGACTGGCTGGCGTGTGCTGCCTCAAGGCCCCTTCTCCAACTTCTGCTCCAGCACACGGAGCCTTTGCCACTCTGGGCAGCTGCTGCCACTGGATTTCACTGCTGGAAGTCAAAACCTGGCTGTCCTTGGCTGGAACAGGGCTGCTTCTCCTCCCGCTGCTCCAGCCAGGATCCTGGGGCTGTGCTGGCTGGAGTCTCCTCCTCAACCGTGCAGCAGCAGCCTGGGAATGCTCTGCACCTACTCAGCAGAAGCTGTTAGAGATGGCCAGGGTGTGCTCCGTGCTTCAGGGAGATGGTGTGAGCTGTGTGTTGTCTGCCTGCTTCCAGGTGGGATGGTTTTAAAACGGCCAGTACTAAAAAAATAGAAAAATCCCCAACCCTGGGTCCGTGGACCTGGAGACTGGAGCCAACTCTGTGCAATGCAAACAGTGAGATGGATTCACAGCCCAGGCTCTGTGTCTGTTGGGATGTCTGTGACTGTGCCCACTCCTGTCACCACCCCTCTTCCAAAGGTGGTGGGAACGTCATTGCTGGACCCACCTTCCCCGGGGGGGTCTGATCCGGGGTGTCAGGTACAGGTGGAAATAGCGGAATAATTGGAATTTGAGAGAAGCAGAGCTGTGCACTTGGCTCTGGGAAGAGCAGAGCTCGGGCTGGCCCTGCCTAGCTGCAGTGGGAGCCTCCCGCTGGCTGTTCCCTGGAAGTTCTGTTCTCATTATTATTTTGTTACGTGAATTCTCTTCCCAAATCCCACCTTCCTGCTCTCCCTGCGTGGGGCAGATCTGGCAGATTGTCCTGTCACAGAGGGAGAGGAGTCAAACTCTGAACTACACCTGAGCAACTTCTGTTCTTACGGCTTTTCCGCAGTTTGATGCAATTCTGGCTTTTGTAGATAGATGAATGTAATTCCTTGTTGGACATGCCTGTTCCCAGAAGTATGAGCCATTCTGTTGTACCACGTCACCTTCCGAGCAGAGCGGGCCCGGCCCGGCTCCTGTGCTATTTGATGAATGTATCCGATGCTCTCGTCCCGTGTTCACACTCTGCTTTTTGGCCAGCTTTGTGATTTGTAAATAGGAAAACAATAAAGACATGGAGGTTGTCTTTATGAAGTTTCTTTGTGATTAGAGGAAAATGAGGGAATGGTGGAGGGGAAATCTGGGCCAAGCTGGCTCCTGGCCCATCTCCCACAGCCGAGGGTGTGGGGTCCTCATCTTCCCATCCAGGGAGAGGGATGAGCCAGATCTTTGGGAATCCTGGAGCCCAGCACTCACTGCTGGGGAGTTCAGACCCTCAGGGTATGAGGTGGTGGTATGAGGGCAGCATACTCTGGTCTGGGTGATGTCACTGATTTCTTGAACTGGAGGTTTTTGACAAATACACCAAAAGCTGCCTCAGCTTTTGCTGGGGCCACTCCAGATGTGGGGAGGGGAAGGCAGATTCTCTGGCCTGTGATCCCAGCATGGAGAGGCTGTGGGGGCAGCTGGAGCAGGGATGAGGTTGGGCTCTGCCCAGCACAGCTCCCCCTGTCACTTTTCCCTGAGGGCCAGGGGCAGCTCCAGGGGGAGCCCAGCCCAGCCCGGCCCATCTGCTCTCACCCTGCCCACACTGAGCTCACCGAGGCACACGGGGGCCTCAGCTGCCTCATGCTGGGCTCAGCACATTGTCCTGCCCTTCCTCCTCCTCCTCTTCAGCCACGATTCCAAGGGCTCCCCCAGCTCCTAGACCCGGCTCTGGGCTGTGGTCCCAGGCTGGACCCTCATTCCAACCCCGGCCCCTGCAGAGCACTCAGATGGGAATTGCCCCTCCTGCATCACCTTCCTCATTCACGGGCTTTACAGGAGCAGCCGGCAGGAGCCTGGGGAGGGCTGCCCAGAGCCTGAATCAGCTTTGCTGCTGTTCCCCCGACCTCTCCTCCCGAGATTTTCCTCCTGCTGCTCCAGGAAAGGCTCCTGGGCAGGGAGCCCCTTCGAGGGGCTGGGGCTGCTCCCACCCACTGCTGAGGGAGTTTCCAACAAAAAAGGGGCGTTTGGGCAATGTCCTCACCCTTCTGATCACACAGTAAAGCACAGAAGAATGTGTTGGATTTTAAAGATTTTTTTTTTTATTATTTTTTTTTTATTAAAAAAAAAAGCCCCTAAATTCTATGGCTTCCAGGAAGCATCAGAGAAATTGAAATGCCATTTCTGTACACTTGGTTTTAAAGCAGTAACTAAACTCGCAATGGAACAAACGCTCTCACGTACAATCGCAGTATTTGGACTCCTCGCTGGAAGGACAGAGAGTCCCGGGCTCGGGCCCCGGCGGCCGAGGGTGTGCGGGCAGAGCCGGGCGCTCCGGGCACCCCTCGTGGCCGCTTTCCCTTCCCCTCCGCGGCTCCTCTTCGGCCTCCGCCGGGGCTGCTCTGAGCCCACGCGCTGACAAGGGACCACTTCCAGTGAAAATTTTAAGGCGATTTTTAAAATTCGTTTGTTCGCCTCGCTGGGGACACGAGGTCAAACGTTGCACGTCCCCTTCCCGCTGTGGCCAGGGACG